GTCGTGTACCACTTGTGGTACACGTGGCGCTGTGATCAGTTCGATTGCAAAAAATAAATAAATTAAATAAATATGACTGCGTGTACCACCGGTGGTACACACGGCACGGAACGTGTTAAATTTCGATTACAACATTTTCAACGACAAAAGTATCCTTGCTTTTCAATCTTCATTTCACGATGCAGAAACATCCTTGGAAGAAGAAGAAACGTCTCTCTGGAAGGGAAGAAAGTGGAAACGAGGCAAACTGAATTGTTGTACAACGATTTCGTTTCAACAATGTTCGAGCAATTCGAAATACTTCCGTGCTTCATCCTCCTGCGAATACATTTGTTATTTTCAAGGAAGAGAAATGTCTCGGCGAAACGGGAGAATTTGGAGAAACACAAAGAAAACGTCTGCGTTTAGGTTTAGATTTCCGTGGCAAGGACGAGGGGGAAATACCATAATCTCCATGAAGAGATGATTTTTGAAAATCCAGTTACGTGGCAGGGCATGAAGAGCCGATGGAAATTCCGCGCGATGGAAAAACTGTAGCGATCTCCGGGCTATTCAATGATTTGTCATGGGCCACGAGGGGTGGAAGTTAGGGGCGAGCAAGGCAATTCAGAAATTAGACACACTGTTGCCGGGGGTTGGCGTTGAGAAAGCGTACAGCGGTTTCTATGAGGAATCTTTCGATCACGTTCCCACGACGCGATTTCGTCTCGCTGCATACAAAGAGCTGTAAATTATCGTAGTCGTCACTGCGTGGGCAATTTTTACAGCAATTTGACGAGGGTACAGAAACCGAGCACGACGTATTAATTTCTCGATTATCGTCCTGATACTTGTGTTCTCGAATCACGAAAATTGCGTCGAATAATTAGGTAATATTGCGCAGGATACTTATGAATTTCATGCTTACTCCTTTAGGAGAATTTGAATTAACATCCGCGTTTCATTATAACGTTTTTTTTTTCTTTTGGCTTAAACGTCTGAATATTATGTCTATAATTGTGTCAAAATATAACGCTATATTTGTGATTGAATATATCGTATGTTCCGAAGTATTCGGTACGGGAACCTTAATTTAAGAAGCTCTCCGCAAAAGGAGATACTCACATCCATGTTCCTGGTAAAGTCGACGCTACGACGATGAGAAGTAATCGCAGAATAATAACGAGCAGACTGCCGTAAGGTGCCATTTTACCTGCAAAGTAATTTCAACACAAGTATTAACTCTCAAATTGTCTTGTAATCCAAAGCAAAAGAGAAAAAGAAAAAAAACAAGAATATAAAAGAGAGAATTTGTCGTGTGAAACATACATTAAAAATATATAATTCCATTTTAATCTGTTGACTGTTTTAAAAAACAGTCAAGTTTCTTTCATCAGGTCAGACAATATTTATCGTTGGTGAAAGTTTGTATGCATTTTCACAAACAGCTTCGTAAAAATTCACGTTGCTCAAACTAGGAACAATTTTCGTCAAACAGAATCGCGAAATTTCACGAAGGAATTCCGAATAATATCATTCATCTCCATCTATTGATTTTACAATTTTTCCTGTTCGTATAACTCGTAAAAAAATTTTCCTAAAAATTATGATCAAATTAATTTATTTCTATCACTGTAATTTTATTAATTTGATCGTTGTCAGTCGCAGCGGGTGCAATTACTGTATTATTATTTGATCGAAATTTCGATACATCATTTTTTAATCGTACAGAAGGAGATCCAATATTATATCAACATTTATTCCGATTTTTTAAACATCCAGAAGTTTATATTTTAATTTTACCAGAATTTGGATTAATTTCACAAACGGAAATAGGAAGGAAAGGAAATATCAGGAATTGGATTTCTACGATTTATTGTTTGAGCTCGTCGTATGTTTACGTATTTACGATTGGATATTGATACGCATCAATGCATATTTCCATAGTATCAAACGCTTCACCCAGTATACAAAATCAGCACGTGAGTACAGGTACTAGTATACATATATATACGTGTATATACCAGTTCCGTGGGCTTCGAGTATGCCGTGGACTCGGCTGGGAACGAAAGACACCTAAGTCCAGACGATTATGGTACATCGATTCGACATTACACCTTGCTTGCTCCTTGAAGCAGCACTGGCGAGAGCTGTTGGTTTCTTCTTGCTCTGCACAATCCAGAATCGAGTGTCACGCTGCTCGTTTTAATAGAAAACTTACGGTGCCGAGAGTTACGACTCCCTATATAACTTTGAACTCTATAACTTTTCATTTTCAACTGTCACGCTATGGTGAGACACGAGAACTATACCCGACTCGATGAGTAGAGTTCAGCGGCAATATTGCATTTATGGTTTATGCGATATATCCTCGCCTTGATTGCGATCCGCGGACGCACACCCACTCGATTCGTAAGCTGAGTTAGCCTTGGAAAGTTCGCAGTATTTTTTTCACGCGCATTCGACATCCAAGTTCCATTGATTTAGCAGAATGTTATAAACTTCTGTGGCGAAATCGTGAATTTAATTCAAAGAAATTGTCTCACTCTGCAGGATAGCGAGAGTGAATTTAGACAAAATCACGGTATTTAAGAATTTATGATTCTTGAATCTTGATCATCGTGCATCTCAATCTCTCTATAACGCGATTAAAATGTTGCCGAGAAAGATTCACTTCTGACATGAAAATATGCGCGTCTTTCAACAGTTTTGCATAAACTTTTGTGCGACGAGGAGAGATTGTTTAAAGTGTGCATTCGTGTGCACTTCTGTGCAGAATTAGTTGTGTTATTTCAAAAAAGGAATTCATTTCACTTACAAAAGTAGATGTCGATCGATTGTAAGGTAAGGGGATCTTCTTTTCGCTACATTTAATGTCAGAAATAAGAAGAAGATTCATATCATTAGAAGAGAAATTAGAAATTCTTGGATCGGAAATTGAAATCTGGTGGTAAGTTGACACCTCTTTGCAAGAAATACTTAACAGAAATGAATCAACGACATTCGCACAATTAGGAAAAATGAAAGTAAACCAAGAGCTAGAGCTTCTGCTCGAATGCATCATCAAGTTTAAGGAAAAAGAAAAAAATCCTCCCGTGCGAAAGAAAAACAGAAAATTTAATTATATGGATAGAAGATTGCCCAGCAGGAAGAATACTTATTCCTTTGAATACTTGTTTAATAAGACAGAAAAAAAAAAGACTATTTATTTACAGTGTCTATATAGTCCTACTATACTTTGTAGAAACGTCGAAAAATCTGAAATAGCAGCGGTCTCGTTTTAGAATGACTTTGCAGGACCAAGTCCTTGATAATCGATGACAAGCTCGCGTAAAAAAAAAAAAAAAAAAAAAAAA